ACAAACGCCTTCTAGGCCTAAGTCAGGGTATTAAACTGAATGCCTTATAAAGATGAATTCTCATAAGCCAAGTAGGCACATCTTTAGGTATGACCACACATGGAAATAAAGTAATTTTGCCAAAACTCTGTCACACTGAGCTGTCAGAAACTTCCCAGATCAGTTCAGCTCAGTTCAGGACATGAGTCTGCACAGCTCAGCACAGAATGACTTCCATCTATGTGGAAATCTACAACTGGATCTAGTGATTTCCATCCTACACCACGTGTTTCAGTCATCTGTTGCTGAGTAACGACCCACCCCAAAACTTAGAGGCTTAAAACAACAATAATTATTCCTCGTCATTCTGTGATTTGGCTATAGCTCAGCTAGGTGGTTCTTCTGCTGGTCTCAGGCAACTGCATTTAGCCAGCTGCTTGGCTGGAGCTGAAACATCCAAGATGTTCAGGCCTCCCAAGTGGCCTCTCTCTCCAGCAGGGTAGATGGACCTTCTACATGATGACTGGCTTCAAAGACAGAGGAAGCAAAAGCTGTCTGTCCTCTTAAGACTTGGGCCTAAAGTCCCAGGCAGTTACTTCTATGGGATCCTGTTAGTCAGTGCAAGTCACAAGGCCAGTCCAATACACGGTGAGGGAAACAAAATGTACTGCTGATGGATGGAGCAGCACACACAAACAGGGTACAGAGTTAGAGAAATTGATGATGGAAAGCTTTGGGAATCATCTATCAAATGACAGTCCTTCCCACCCATAAAGAGACTCATCATTTCAGCATGCCTTCATGATAGCTCATTACTCAATATAAGAGAGCAGGTAAAACCAGTTCTTTTGTGTATTTCAAACCTGTTAAACAATTTGCTCTATGTCATAAATGTATTATATGAAGACTGTAACTTACTATGTCTAAATCTACACCAGAAAATCCAAATGAAACATTATTCTAGTTTCAGGTACAGTCACTTGATGCCACTTTATGTACTGGATTATAATTATCTATGTGCCCATTCAGATTTAACCCCCAATAGGGCAGAGACCACATCTATTCTGTTTACAACTGTATTCCCAGTGTCTAGTGTATACCAGGTACCTAATGGACTGTTCCTTCTTAGTTATTAAACATATTCCTATTTTAAAATATATTCCTTTTTCTTTAACATCAGATAAAAAACACTTGTAGTTTTTTCCATGTGTACTTTACGACGTGACAAAAATATGTCACTACTAATGCGTGAAACACTTACACTCTAAGAAAAAAAGGTACTTTAACTACTATTGTAGTTACATGCTAAATTTACCCTCATTCATTCACGAAAATGAGAAATTTTATAATAGTATGTGATTCATTTTCTGCGAGTTATCTTTTATTGGTCTCTAGTTCTAGACCTTCAACTTGCAATGAGAACTATTCATGCTTGAACCAACAACTATCCATCTTACAATTTTGATAGCACATTTTCTGACTGAAAATTCCTACGTTTACAACCAGTTGTGCTATTCCTGCATAACTAAGGGTTCTCGTTTGGTCAAAATATAATAAAATATCCTTAACTGAAATGCAAGTATCTCTACTCTTCAGTTACAAAAACTGACCTACTTCAATCATGAGGAGATAAAAACAATTTTCTTAAACAATATAAAAATTAAAAGCAACATGTTCCTGATGACCCAAAAGTTTTCAAACAATTATGCCAGGCAAATGCCAGCTTTACAAAATTAATTTAATATTCAAATATTTTATCACTATTATCTCTCACATACTTACAAAATCATTAAATACAGCACAAATTCCCAGAATTCTCTCTCCCAAGAAGTTATAATGTGAATATAATATATTGGGAAAAATTTAAAGTTTTGTTTAAAATGGTTAAATTGAGTCCGCCCCTTGCCTTTTCCACTCTGAGCTATAACCTAGTTTTATAGGTTTTAATAGTTGTTTCCAAATTCCCAAAGATATTACTTTTTGGGATTTTAAATGAGAGAATAGGATTCCTAACATCATAAGTTATTCTTAAAATATTTCCAATATTCTTTACTCATTAGTATGACTATCTTAAAAATTGTTTAATAAGAAATATCAAGTTTAGTAGTACAGGCATGCCTCATTTTATTGCACTTCACTTTACTGCTTTTTGCAGATACTGCATTTTCTACAAATTGAAGGTCTGTGGCAACCCTGCATCAAAAGCAAGTCTATCAGCACCATTTCTCCAACAGCATTTGCTCATTTCATGTCTCTGTGTCACATTTTGCTATTTAAAACCTTCCACCAGTGAAAAGATTATGATTTAATGAAGGCTCAGGTGATGGTTAGCAATTTTTAGGAATGAAGTATTTTTTAATGAAGGTATGTACATTTTTTTAGACATAATACTTCTGCATACTTAATAGTCTACAGTATAGTGTAAATATAACATTTATGTGTCCTGGGAAAAATTTGTGTGACTTGCTTTATAGCGTTACTCACTTTACTGTGGTGGTCTGGAACTGAACCCGCAATATCTCTGAGGTATGCCTGTATTTACAAAGAACTTCAGCCTATAGAGAACATTAAAACATTGGAAACTGCCAGCAAACATTACGAGGTCCTATTTCTAATAACCATTTGGATATCTTACCATGTTAACTGTATTAAATAACAAATTAAATTTACCAATTTATGGATTTATTTTGCTTCTAAGTTTTTCCTCAAAACACCATTAATAGACTTTATGTATAAACTGATTAATATTTATTATATTTACATTGTAAACAGCAGACAGAGCCACAAAACATGCTCATAACTTGGCTTCAGCTACAAGGGAGACTGACTGAATGGCGACCGCCCTCCTCCTCCTCCTTTTTTTTATGAATACATATGGCTCTGTCACCTAGTAATTCTTATTTCTGCACTCCTTCTCCATGATTTGTGCTTCGCTGTCATACCTACTCTTTTGGGGGGCCTCTCTTCCCTCCCGGTTAAACCCTTTCCTCTTCCATACCTTGTACAGCAAACCCCATCACCTCCCAGGTCACTTACCAGACCACTGTACTTGACCTGGTTTTATGTAAAATACCCCCAATCTGCACCTAGATTACAAGTTTTAAGAGGAAGGTTCATATTTAAATCTTTTCATATCTTCGGAGCTTAAAGCAGTGCTCTGAGTAGAGCAGAGGTATTTGGTTACTGTTGTAGTAGGCAGGATGTGGCCTGCTCCTTTATACTGCTCTAGACTTTCCAGAGCTTTTACAGTGGACTACTAATACTTAGAAAACATCAAAGAGTTTCATTAAAGAGAGTCATAAAACAGCATCAAAAAAAACCAAACTCCTCAATTAAAAAATGGACAGAGGACCTGAAAAGACTTTTTTCCAAAGAAGATATACAGATGGCCAACAGGCACATGAAAAGATGCTCAATATCACTAATCATCAGGGAACGCAAATCAAAACCACAATGAGATGATCACCTCACACCTGTCAGAATGGCTGTTATTAAAAAGACAACAAATAACAAGTGTTGGCGAGGATGTGGAGAAAAGGGAACCCTTGTGCACTACTGACGGGAATGTAAACTGGTGCAGCCACTGTGGAAAACTATGGAGTTTCCTCAAAAAATTAAAAACGGAATCACCATATAATCCCGCAATTCCACTTCTGAATATTTTTCCAAAGAAAAACACTAATTCAAAAAGATACACACACCCCTATGTTCACTGCAGCATTATTTACAATAGCCAAGATATAGAAGCAATCTAAGTGACAGATGAATGGATAAAGAAGACTGGTGTATATATATGTGCATATATATACATATATAGCCATAAAGAAAGAATTAAATCTTGCCATTTGTGACAACTCGGATGGACCAAGAGGGTATTATGATAAGAGAAATAAGTCAGATACAGAAAGACAAATACCGTATGATTTCATTTATAGGTGAAATCTAAAAAATAAAACAAATGAACAAGCAAAACAGAAACAGACTCATAGATACAGAGAACAAACTGGTGGTTGCCAGAGTGGAGGGGGATGGGAGGATGAATGAGAACAGTTGAGGGAGATAAAGAAGTACAAATTTCCGGTTACAAAGTCAGTCAGTCATGAGGATGAAATGTACAATGTGGGGAATATAATCAATATTGTCATAATTTTATATGGTGACAGACAGTAACTAAACTTACTGGTGATCACTTTGTAATGTATAGAAATGTCAAATAACCATGCTGTGCACCTGGAACCAACATGGTGTTGTAGGTCAATTATACTTCAATAATCAAAAACACAATAAAATAAAAATAAGTCATAAACGGTAAGACCTTTTTTAAAAAGGGAAATTCTAAAATGTACTTAAGTCAGACAATAATAAGATAAATTACAAAATAAGAACAGTGGGGGCTGTGGTTCTCATTACAGAAAGCTTCATCTCTGAGGCAGCAAAGAGAGTTAAGTAGCCCATCTGAACCCCTTTCAAAGCTCCAAATTCTGTGCCCTGAGACAAAAATCACATTAAAGATTCATCTTCCCGTGATGAAAACCTTACAAACATTTGCAAATGTTGTATTATCGAAACTATCTTACTGCTCACACCGAGCTCCGGTTGTTCTGGACTGCGACTGGGTCCAAAGGAAACAAAGCTAAGACTGAAAGGAGGGAGAAGAAATGGAGGGCAGGAGAGGGTGAGGATGCACCCTGTAAAGGCAGACTTCTTAATGGGCATAATGTGCTACTGCAAGGAAGCAGGGCCCTACTTAAAGTTCTAGAATAGCTGAGTTTTCTATACATTCCACTAATTTCTACCTATTAACTTACTTTAACAAATATTTAGCACCTATTTGTCAGGCACTGTTTCAGGCAATGAACAAGCTAGATTCTCTGAAAAGTTTAAGACACGTTTAAAAATAATTTGTGATATATATTAGAAATGTACAAGCATGTTAAACTATTATGATGAGAAACTATGAAAGCACTAATTTTCATAACTTGACTCTACAGCAGACAGACACTTGTGAAAATTAACTTTACCTTATATTTCATCTTGGGACATGAATGAATGTAGAAACCCATATAATAATAGCTGAGCTGAGGTGTTTTCTCATGAAGTTGCCTAGTAAAAGCAATTTCTCTGCCAAAAGAAGAATAAAGATGAAGGTACAGTTAAATCTAACTCCAATACTCAAAGTACTATATAATCTCGTGACAAATATTTGATAAAATCTGATATTAAGCTATCAAAAAAATCCAAGTGTTGAGAGACAAACAATTTTAAAAATACTGTAAGATGATTTTTACTTAAGAGAAGACACCAAAAAACTTTATTATTTTGAGTAAATGCATCTAAGTTCAGGTTTTCCACTTTGCTGGGCACAGCAGTGTATCTAAAATTCAAATAGCATAAAATTAGAGATTTAATACAGCTCCTTGCTGTTATTCATTATCACCTTGAGTTCTCAGAGACTGAGTTTATCAGGTTAAAAACAGTACAACAAATTTTAGAAAATTCAAAAGCCAATAAATTTCAGGAAGAAGATTATCATTTACATGCAAATACTTTCAGTGGTACATGACATGTAATCCTTTCCTATGTCCAGATGCTACTTTAATATTTATTTTCTCTAAAACTAAAGAGCAGAGGAAACCATGTTACCTCACTGCTTTTTCTCTATTTGTTGGCACAGGCGAGGACTAACTGAACAAAGCAGCTGTCCGCAATGCCTGTGCTTGACATGGTTTTAATTTGTAGCTGGATAAATATGGGCACAGAATTTCATCCTACTTTCCCATCTGAATGAATGCTTGTGTTTGAGAGTACATTTCTAAAGTATGAGAAAAGTTGTTTGTTCTGTTTTTAGGTTTGTTTCTTCAAGGTTTTAATTTCTTTTTCTCTGTTTTTAACAGCAGCGAATGCTTGAAATCTAAGGAGAGATTTATTTATTTTAAGGGAATAGTCTGTTCATTCTGCAAGTTTAAATTTAAATTGGTGAAGGGCTATTGCCCTAAAAATTCATCTTTACAGCAAAAATATTTTTAAATCCAAGCAACCTAAACATTATTAGACTAAAACATTATTAGGCTGTTCTGTAGTAAGAACAGTTCTGCTATTTCCAGAACTAACACACTCTCAAGGTTCAAGCTGAGGAAGAATGCACGGATACAACAACGCAGGCCCACTGGGCTCTACGTGGACACCCTGCCCAGCCACACCGGCACTCCTTCACTTGGCCCTGCTCATCTCAGTTAACTGCATCACCACTCCACCCACAAGCTGTTCAGGCCCCAGACCTATGAACCACCCTTAACTGTTCTTTTTCTCTTGCCCTCATGTCCAATCTATCAAGTCCAGTTGGCTCCACCTCCAAAATACACCCAGAATCTGACCACTTCTCACACCACCTTCACTTCAAATATTTTGGTCCAAGTCACCATTATGTCTCCCTTGGACAATTCCAGTAGCCTCCCAACTGGATTTCCAGTTTCTGCTGTTGCCCCTCCATAACCCACAGAACAGTCTAAGAAGTCTTTTACAGTATTAATCAGATCAGGTAACCTCTCCAAACCCTCTACCCTCACACTGGGTTGGTATCACACTTTTATAAAAGTCCAACCTCCCTGTTGTGACCTGTAAGCCCTGCTCCATCTGCACCTTCCTCATCAATGCCACCTGCCTCTCTGCCTTCCTTGGATAACATTGTCTAAACCCTACCCCGTATCCCAGCCCGAAAGACCTTCCTTCTCTTCATTCCAACCACCTTAGGGCAGGGCACTTGGACTTGCTACCTCTGACCAAGACTTCTATCCTCAAATTTTTACACAGCTGGCTCCTTTTCTTCTTTCTCTCCTGACTACCTTATGTACAAAGGGCCATATGCCTACCACCATAATTTTATTTTTAACACAGCACAACAGTCTCTAAAGTTGTGTCTGTCAAGTTTTCTAATTTACTGCCAGCTTTGACAAAGCTGGAAATCCTGTCTGTCTTATTCACATCTATAAACAGTATCTGGACACACAGACTGTGCTCAAATAAACATCTGTTAAAGAAATTAATTACATTTCTAAAATTCATCTTGCTAAAAAAAGTAAATAAATCCCATGCCCATGATTCCCAAGGCAAACAGTTTTAAACTCTGCAGACTAGATTACATAAAAATCTATACTTGATTATAGAGTAGAGTATAAAAACTCTTATTGATTGAACGATTGCTTAAGAAACTGAGGGAAAATTACCTAGATAGCTTTCACTGAAATACATTAAAATCAACAAAGGAATTGGCAACTTGTAACCCACTCTCCCCAATTTTGCTTCCTAATGTCAACCTTCTGGCCACCTCTCCTCTTGCATAAACTCAGCCACTCACACTCTCCAGAGCACTGCAAGGGCGTGAGGGGACCACAGTGCACTGGCACCCTCCACACTGTCACCTGGCCCAGCTCCCGTGCCCTCAGGCTCCTCTGCTACTTCCTCAAAGCTCTCCAGCTCTAGAATTTTCAAGATATGCCAAGCAACAAACAGAACTCGTTCTCATTTTGCTGAGAATTAATTATTTGCCATCTCAAATGCAGTAGGATTTCTGTATCTCTTTGTTTACTGAGACATGAAATCATATTTCATACAGAGGCTGAGGTTTATTAAGTAAGAATAAATACCATTTTTAATATTTATCTGAGAAGTCTAGACAAATCCATGCTACACACTGTAAAGCAAGAGATAACAAAAATAAAACAAGAAAGAAAACGGCAATGATTTCAAAGTACTGACTGATTTTTGGGACAAAGAAAGTATCTTTTCTGAAATATACACTTCTAAAGTTAACAAAATACAAATGCTTTAAATTATCAGTTCTAATTTCACAAAGAGTCACAAAGATACTACAAAGAATTATGAATGTTTTTAGTTTATACAAAATGTAATTAACCACATAAGAAAACTAAAAGATTATTATAGGAATCAGCTGCAAACATTATGTATTTTTGAATTTGCTATATAATTTGGCATTAAGAGACAGGTCACTTTGAAAACACTAATATTGTGGGCCATTGAAAAACACAAAAAAGTCAATTATGGGCCATAGTTTAAAAAAATCAAATGGTGATTAAAAAAAGTACCCTTCTATTTTTTATAATTCAGAAAAAAACACATACACAATAAATAAAATAATCAGTCCTGAGGTATATTTTACCATGATGTGAAAAATATGACCATCAGACAGAGAATGGGAAAAGTAGAGAGAAAAAAATGACACAATGATAAAGAGGGAGAAAAATGAGAGACTCAAGCTCCCAGCAAACAACAGAAAAATAATTGTCAATCCTCCTTCCCTCCTCTACCACATGTATACACAGACAAGCAGGGATGAAAATAGAAATGAATAGTTTCATGGACTAAGACCCCAATCTTTTTACCATTAAGGTAATGCAACTAAAAATATTTTTGCTGTGTTGCATACATTTGCAATCATGGTCACAAAAGGGAAATCATCTTTCGATGAGGGTTAATGAGTTAGGTGGAGACTCGGACTCCCAGGTCCTATTCTAAATAACTGTATATTACTTTCAACAGACATTGTTTTAATTCATTTATACTGGATTCATGAAACTTTTAATTAATTATAAAAATACACATACAAAAGTGATGACAAGAAAAAATATGTAACATTTAAAAACCATGAAGTGGTTTTGACAGGGGAGCTTAAATAAATGCATAAACTAAACAACAAAAGCATCCCACAAATACAATGACTTCTCATGCACTAGATTAGATGGATATAAAAAGCCAGGTTATTACCATCAAACACCAACCTCCGTTCTAAAAGTGGTATTTCTAAATACCAATATATAAGAGACTACTAGAGCAACAAATTATTATGTACTATCAAATAGGATTTCTACTATTACATAATAAAATATATTCAAATGAAGAATTATTTGAAGTTCTATATGATCCATTACAATTGTCAGAAGCAATCTTACCGGAGGGCAGAGTAGACACCCAAAGACAGAAATGAATAATCAGGATCGTAGTACAAATAGACAGACGATACACAGTATGGAAGGATGTCAATCACCCCCACGGCAATGATCTTTCCGTCAAGCCAATACTGCTGGTGAAAGGAGCCATAGCCACAATCTGGTCCGTTAGGGGGATTCTCTGCCTGTGAAAAAGTAGACATACAAACATGAACAGTTTGTTATTTTTCTCTTTATATTAAAAATCTTAATAGTTAACCTCTTATATTTTTATTTTACTCAGGTTAGTAGGTCCTAAAATTTCCTCTTTGTTGCCATTATCTTTCGACTCATATCCCACAAAACTTTTCAGTTGTAGAAACACTGACCAAACAAAGTAACGACAGTAAAAACTCAACTTCAGATCTTTTTAACTTGTTTTAAAATTTGCAGTAGAAAATATAAATTTTACAGGATAAGTAAATAACTACTTAAACTGTAATCAAATGAAGAATTATTTGAAGTTCTAGATGATCCATTACAATTATCAGAAGCAATCTTACTGGAGGGCAAAATAAACTGTATTTTTCTGTTCCACATGAAAGTTGGGGAAGAAATGGTATATGAGAGAAAGATGGAAGACGTAAGGGAGAGGGCTGGGTGTGAGAAGAAGTGTCCCCATACTGCCAGCCAGGCCTGATCTGTCCCCCACACTCATAAAGCATACAAGCTCGTGATTTTTTTTAGGTTAAGAGTTCCTGTGTAAGTACAAAGAGTTATGATGTTCTCCCTATTAGACAAAGGAAAATAGAAGTTATTTTTATCATTATTTTAATGACCCTATAATCCCACAGGAAAAAATTTAGAGATTTCAAGAGTATACCCACTTTCTGTAAACAGTTAAATATTTCTTACTTTAAAATTGAACATAATTTTAAATGAACTGCTCTCAAGTGAAAACCATATAATTAAAATTATGAAGCACCATAAAAATGCTTTGCTAGAGACTGAATGGATGTTAGAGATTAACAACTTAAGTGAACAAATACACAAAACTTGTATATCATTTTCATACAGTTAAAGTCACAGACACTGTATGTGGAAAAAAGCTAAAAGGGAATGAAGAAAAATGAAAAAAGTACGTTTGCTGATACCAAAACCAGAAAGACGTTACAAGATAGGAAATCTGCAGAACAGTATCTCATGAACATAGATGCAAAAATTCTCACCAAAATATTCGCAAATTGAATCCAACAATGTATAAAAAGAACTATACACCATGACAAAGTAGGATTAATTCCAGGTATGCAAGGCTGCTTCAACATTAGGAAAGTAATTTAAAAAAAAATTAATGTAATCCAACCACGAAAACAGGCTAAAAGAAAAATCATATGACCATGTTAATTGATGCAGAAAACACATTTGACAAAATCCAACACCTATTCATGACTAACAGCTCTCAGGAAACTAGGAATACAGGGGAACTTCAACAACTTTATAAAGAACATACACAAAAAAATCTACAGTTGACATCATACTTAATGGTAAGAAACTGACTGCTTTCCCCCCAAGAGTGGTGACAAGGCAATGATATCCTCTCTCATCACTCCTATTCAGTATCATACTGGAAATCCTAGTTAGTGTCATAACACAAAAAAAGAAATAAAAGGTATACATACAGATTGGGAAGGAAAAAATAAAACTGTCTTTGTTCACAAATGACATAACACACTATGTAAAAAATCCCAAAGAATCAACAACAAAAACTGAAACGAATAAGCAATTGAAGCAAGGTTACAGAATACAAGGTTAAGATACAAGTCAATTGCTCCCATATATACCAGCAATGACTGGAATTTGAAATTAAAAACACAATACTTTTTTCCAAAACCACCAAAAAATCACACATTTAAGAATAAATCTAACAAAATATATACAAAATCTATATGCAAAAAAACTACAAAATTCTGACAAAAGGAATCAAAGAAGATGTAAATAAATGTATGTGTTCATTTTGATTAAGATGTCCATTCTTCCCAAGCTGGTCTGTTCATTTTGATTAAGATGTCCATTCTTCCCAAGCTGGTCTCCACAGTTAATGCAGTCTCAAATTATTTCAAGGATATTGACAAATTAATTCTAATGTTCATATGAAAAGGCAAAAGAGCCAGGAATCAACACAATACTGAAGAAGAGCACAGCTGGAAAGTGACACTAGCTGAGATCAAGACTTATTATAAAGCTACAATAATCAAGATAGTGTGATATTGGTGAATGCACAGAGAAATACAACAACAGAACAGAATACAGAACTCAGAAAGAGGCCCACATAAATACAGTCAACTGGCCTTTGACAAAGAAGCAAAGATAATTCAGGAGAAAGGATAGTCTATACAACAAATGGTGCTGTACAAGAAAGCAAACAATCCAGTTAAAAACCAGGCAAAGTACCTAAGCAGACACTTCACCAAAGAAATTGTACAGATGGCAAATAAACATGTGAAAAGATGTTCAACATCATTTGTTAGGACACTGAAATTTAAAAAACAATGAGAGTACTATATAACTATTAGAATGGCTAAAACCCAATAACCCATAGATCAAATGTTGATGAAGATGCAAAACAACAGGAATTCCCACTCACTGATGGTGGGGATGCCAAATGGTACAAACACTGCGGAGGACAGTCTGGGAGTTTCTTGCAAAGCCAAATACTGTTTTACCACACAAAACAGCAATCACATTCCTAGGCATTTATCCAGTTAATTTGAAAACTTAAGTCACAAAAAAGACCCAAAGGCCTGCACACAACAGTTTTTATAATATTATTCACAATGGCTCAAAACTAGAAACAACCAAGATATCCTTCAATAGGTGATAAACTGCGATACATCCACACAATGGAATATTATTCATCAGTTAAAAGACATAAGCTATCAAGCCTCACACACACAAAATGGAGAAACCATAAACACATACTGCAAAGTGAATGAAGTCAGTGTGAAAATGCCACATATTGTATGATTCCAGTTACATTCTAGAAAAGGCAAAACTATTGAGACAGTAAAAAGATCAGTGGTTGCCAAGAATGTCAGGGGCTGGGGAGTGATGAACAGATGAAGCACCTTGAGTACGAAAATATTCTGTATAATACTGTGGTGGTAGATACATGACATTATGCACTTGTCAAAACTCATAGAACTTTACAACACAAAGAGTGAGTTTTAATGTCTGCAAATTAAAAGAAAATCACTTAGGAGGTTAAGGGATCCCAGAAAGCAATGCAGACAGTGACAAGAGAATCTAACTGTATACAAATGTACAAAACAAGGGTGTAGGGTGTAGCTCAGTGGTAGAGTGTGTGCTTAGCATGCACAAGGGTCCTGAGTTCAATCCCCAGTACTTCCATTAAAATAAACAAACAAACAAGCAAACAAACCTAATTACCCACCCCAAAAAAGAATTGGACAAAAAAATTTTTTAAAAAACCAAATGTATGAAACAAACTAACTGAAGAGGCTGGGGAGGGGAAATGTGCTGATGTAAGTAACTTTGGGGGTCTATAAGAAGGAAGGCAAGAGGAAATCTGCACATAAGCATTGTATTCTACCTGATAAAGTTGTTTAACCCGAAAATTACAGGTTAACAATTCTGATACTGATATGTCGTGTATATTGGAACTGAACAACTAAGTAAATGGATGGCGGATGGTAGGAACCAGGATTCTCACTGTTGAAGTGTAAATTTACAAATAAGCAAGGGGTAGAGGCTAGAATGATCCACATGGTCATGGATTAGAGTTGGAGACACGAATAAGATGTCATGTTTAGCTTAATACAGCCACAGATGGTTACATAAATACTTATAGGTATGCACATATCATAGATATACTCATACAATACCATGGTTAGCAGACACACATTTATTTCTTTGCATTCTCAGGTGGAAAGACATTAAAAAAAAAACCAGTAGCAATAAGCATATCTAGTACAATAAATCTTGGTTTCTAATATCATTCTGCAATAAGAAGACTCAAGGCTCCTTGGAGAAATGATTCCAGGAGTGAGGCAGGAAATATACACGATAAACCTAGAGCATCTTGTAGTGCCAGAAAGTAAGGAAGTGCGCACACACACACACAAATCCATAATGAGGCATATCAAAGAGGCACAGCAGTCAATTGAAAGAGCCCCCGATGGCCAAAGCTGGAACAATTTAAGCAAGAAAATAAAGTAGTATTGGATTATAACCCAAAATACAAAATAATTGTCCATGAGTACATACTGATATATATGACTGAATAAACCAACGAATGAGGAAGAAGAGACAAATCTCTAATGCTGAAGAATTCCAAAAAGCTTACATAGATACTCTGCCTAAAGGTAGGAGAGCATAACTGCCTCCAACTTACCTGTGGGCTGCACACAGTGACTTCTTTCCAAAAAGTACAGTATGGGAAAGGGAGGAAAAGTAATTGTACAGGCGATCAAGGTCAACAACAAATAAAAAAAAACTACTGAGGTGCTAGCAGCATCAGTGATTTCTAAAACTTCCACTGCTATAGTTAAAATGTCGTTTTGGCAATAAACACACCTGTAACCTTTTAAGAGCTTCCACTAACTATAATAATAAATTATGTTAACCCCTGGTTTTAGCATTCACTGTCACATACAGTATTGCTCTTTAAAAAGTCATTACTATTCCTCTAGAACAGATACAGTTTGAAGAGTAGAACAGGTAAGCAAACAGAAGTATTATGCAAAAGGAAAAAAGAAAGGATATCAACCTGTTGTAACTACAACACCTGAATTAACGTCAATACTCCAAATTGCTGATAGACTTTAAGCCTAATTACCTGTCTCAGAAGCTAGAATGCTCCAACTATGTAATAAAAAATACACAAATTCCTACATATTATTAAATTTTATGAAAACCATCTTTCAAATGTAAGCCCTGAGGCTCACAGGAATGAAGCTCCCTGTCTTTAAAAATAATCGTGCAGGAGAGCAACCACGGCAGTGACAGAGAGACTGCCAGTTCATGATGTGTAAGGTGGGGAGTCTGTCAAATGTCAGAAAACCTCCAAGTTAAAAGCTAATTGGATGACTCTGAAATGAGTCTAAATTTTTCCATGATTTCAGTTTAGTGTATCATTCTAGGACTCATTAAATCGAATGTGTATTCATTCATGCATTAAAAGTGTATT